CTGCAATACCATCTTAATGGGGAAACGTATGCAAATGTAGAAGATGCCAAAGAGGACATCGCCATGTTTTTTGCATCAAAGCCAAGTGATTTCTTTAATCAGGACATTAACAATCTGACTGTAAGATAGAAAAGCGTCATCGATAAGAATGGAGTCTATTTCATTTAATAAATGTTTTGTTTTGATATATAAGTTGTTCGGGTTTTTACATCTAAACAAAGAAGCGACATTAATTTCTTGACGATCTAATAGATTGTTATGTTGACGAAGACTATCATACAGGTATTATATGATAAATTAAAAACAATAATTACATATTTCTAAGTTCTAGCTTCCAATATATGAAAACAGACATATGAAATTAAAAAGTTCATATTTTAAGCTTTAGTCCACATTATTTACATTCTTAATTAAATAATCTTTGAATAAAACAATAAAAACAGTTACTTCAATCTTAATCTGTAGAAACCCAGCAATCACGAAAGCTGTTGCGGTTAGAAATCCTCCAAATGTAATTCTCTGGAGAGGTCTACAGAAAAAAGAAAAATATCTTGGATATATGTTGCTTTTATCTACAATCTCTGTCTATCTGTCTGTCTATAAACTGTTGTATAAGACAAAAATAAATATATTGATAAATTTTCTCACCTAATTAGGAGGTTACACTTGGCTAAAAGGGGGTAAATAATGTATTCAAAAAGAGGTATGAATGCGATGATCATTAATGGATTGATGACCTGCATCTGATCTGGCTTCACAATGAATCCTCCCTGTTCGAAAAAAAAGAAGAAGAATGAATATAGTGAGCAACAGAGCATATGGTGTAAGTGTTTTATACAAACTGGTAAAACTAACAACTGCGATTTAAAACAACTGCATAAAAAAAGACTCAGTTTACAAAATGAACATTTATTAATGTAAATATTTAACAGCATCAATAAAGATTGACGTCTTACCGTTTGGACAGCTTCGACAATACCTCCAGCCCAGTGATGTTATTCAACAAAAACAATATATGCTGTGTTGCTTCGAAAAATAAGTTTTTAATGTATAATCCAAATACATTTTATTTAGTTTGACCCAAAATTTTCACAGAAACCTACTGCTTTTGAACGTTTCTAAACGCATGCAGATGGTTTCTTTATACAACAGCTTTTACATATATATATCCTTGCTGCTTTCACTAAAATCTGTAAGGTATTAAAAGTCAACATAAATAATCTTTTATATATAGTTTATGACTCATTTGAGGTGTCTGTATGTTACAGCTGCTTTTTACGTTCTGTATAGGATAGTTTCTGTAAAAATAATTAAAACTATCGATGTTTTTATATAGTTTACACCAGACTCTCGATATACGTTCTTGGCGCTTTCAATAATATATTTATCACAGTTTTTATGTGTGACAAATTTATGTAGCTTGTTTTCAAAATATATGCCAGGGGCTATATTTCCGATAATTTAATATATAATTAACAATGTAATTAATATATATATGTTACACGCCTTTCAAATAACATAAACCATAGCTTATATATGTATATATATATCTTTCCTATACACTTTATATAAATGATGTCGTACTTTATATATATATATATATATATATATATA